GTCATAGAAAAATGTCTGGTTTGATGTTTTTTTAGAGTTTTTGGAAAAAATGTAAAGTAAGTTAGATTTAGTTAGATTAACTTTAATATTGTTAAGTCTGTAAAGGGTAGAGGCATTATTAGGAATATTTTGTAGAGTCTCAGGATATTCGCAGTACCACACTGTGTTGTCTATATATGCTAGTGATAGAATTGTGATAGTAGTTGGAGATGTATTTGAGATTATATTGAGTAGAGAGAAAAAAGAGATTTTAAGAAAGTGGTTATTGTATTTTTGAGAAATGTAGGCAAGAATGGGATCGTAAAGATTTTTTATAGAAGAGGGGAGTAGGTTTCTTCTTGTTCAATATCAGATTTAATATGTATTGGTGGCGTTAGGCCATGAGCTATTATTACTCTAGCTAAGTAAGATGTATATAGCTCAGTTATTAGATTGATTTCTGAGCTGGGAATGCCAATTCTATGACAAGCATCTTGTAGGTGTTGAATATTAATTCTATCAAAGGCTTTAGATATATCTTAAAATAGTATCCATGCCTCTTTGTTATGAGAGAAATAATGTTTAATAGTGTTATGCAGAATTTGAATTAGAATATGTGTAGAAGAGTTTTTAGTTGCTACAAAGTTTAGATTAGAGAGGAGATTATTTGATAAGATTGTTTTATCTAGGTGGTTTGTAAAGATTTTTGTAAAAACTTTTTTAAAAGGTTCGATGATAGAAATTGGGTGTACTTGGTTTAGAGTAAAATCACAGTTTGTTTTTTTTAAATATTAAGAATATATTTGATGATTTCTAGTCTGTTAGAGTCTTCTGAAGTTGAAAACACTTGTTACTGAAGGATCTAAAAATGTTTTGAGCATGTGTATTAGCATATTTAATATGCTTATAGCAAATTTCAGAGGGTTCAGCTGCTTTTTGATTTGGAAGATTAGTTATTGTTTCAGTTTATTCTTAGTCAAAAATAGTTTTAAATAAATCTTGAAAATATAGTTCAAATTCTGGATATGATTGATATAATTGGTAAAAGTCTGAAGGAATTGAGTATAAAGGTTTCTCAGAAAAGTAGTTAGAAAAGTGATAATGTATTTTTTTTGGAATTTTATTGTGTTCTGTAAGTAGAGTATTGTTAGAAAGAAGGTGGTCAATGTTTTTAATATTGTTGTATTTTTCTAGTACTTTTTTGTAAAAGAGTTTAGAAGTTTTGATAAAGGATTTGTTGTGATTTTCAATCTTTTGCTTGATTTCTTTATAGAGATTTTGTTGGTATTGATGGTTGAGGGTTGTTTTAACAAGTTGGAATTCTTCTTTGATTTGAGTAAGAGTTGGTGAGTTTGTTTGAAGTAGGTTAGTTGGATATTGGTTTTGATATTAAATAAGAAGATTGTTAAAATAAGTCGAATTGAAGTGATTTTTGAGAAATTGAATTTGTTTGTATTGGTAGAAGATTGGTAGATGTTTAGAAGGAGAGGAATCTTGGATTTCTTTGATTGTTTTAATTTTTTTGTAGAGGATATGTTTGTTTGCTACTTTAATTAAAGCCTTGTATATTTGGTTCTAGATAAGATTAAGTTGATTTTGATTTGTAATTGTTTAGATTTTAAAAAGAATACATTGTAGGTTTTGGAAAATTTGGTTTACATAATCTTGGATTATTTGTTCTGTGCAGTTTTTCCATAAATAACATTTTCTTTTTTTCTGATTACATGGTTTAGGTTTGTTGGTGATGACTAAGATTTCTAAAGTTATTAAGAAGTAGTCTAATTCATTTATAATATTTGTTAAGATATCAGTATATTCAATATTTGTAATTAACAGATTAGTCCAGAACTAGTCTATTCTGCTTTGAATGTTTGCTTGTTAGAAGGTAAAATTTAGAGTTTTAGAAAAAAAAAACTAATAGATATCTTTGTATTGGTAACATTGAAGAAATTTAATTAGTTGTGATTCAGATATAGAGAATTTTTTTGGTAGAAGACAATTAAGTCTTGAGTTTGGGGTACTATTAAAGTCACTCATGATTATTAATTTGTAATTAGAGGTTTGAGTAAGTGTAATTATTTGTTTCTGAATATCTTTACAAAGTTTCTTTTTTTCCTGAGTTGGAATATAGATTTGTAAAAGATGTATTGATGTGTTTTTGAAATATAAATCAAGGCCAATAATATAACTATTATAGTTATGTATATGAGCAATATGTTTTGCAATTTTGTAATGGATAAGAATACCTACACCTGCTTGGGCTTGGTGTGGTGAAGAGTAAGAGCTCAAGTAACTAGTGTAGTTTGGTATTTGGTTGATAAAAAATTTACCTTCTTAAGATAAGAGATGTATTTCAGAGAGGTCTAAGATATCAAAAGAATTTTTGGCAAGTATTTCTTAAATAGAGAGTTTTTTGTTAGATTGATTAAAACTATTAATATTTAAAGAGACTATTTTAATAAGAAGAGAAATATATTTGGGTGTAGAGATAGGCTTTGAAGATTGTATATAGTTAGATTTAAGAGGTGTATTTTAAAAGTTAGAAAGGTTTTTAAAAGAAATTAGAGAATAGTTAGGTATAAGAAAAGTTTTATATAGTAAATATATATGTGCTTCTTAAGAAGAATTTGTTTTAATTAAAATAGAGATTTTGATATATTGTTCAAAGAAATAAACTAGGTAATTTAATTTGATATATTGTAAAAATAAATTGAGTGTTTGGAGATTATAGTAGGAGAGAAATTTGTTGTAACATGTTGTAAGATTATAAAGATCAAGTAGATCTGAAAGAGGGGGGTTGTTAAGTTTGCCTAAGAGAGTATTTGTAGTTGGAGATGTGTTATCATTATCTGAGTTTTCTGAAGAGGAAGTTTTAGAAAGTATTGTTGTAAGTAATGAGGTATTTATAAAGATAGAGGGAATAGTAGATTGATTAGATGTTAGAGAAAAAATATTTTTGGTAGAGGTCTTAGTAGGGTTTGATGAAATGGAAACTGAGACATTTTGAGGTTCTTTTATAGAATCGCTTGCCATATACTCAGTTCTCACAGCTACACAAAATACTATAGCCTGTCTTGTATGTTGAGTCTGGCTAACATAAACCTGGTCTTTCACGTAAATAGACTTTACTGCCTATCTACTTACATCATTCTCTTCCAAAAATGGCCCACAGAGTGTGAAGAACATCAGTGTTGTCATGGAACAGCTTTGGACAATACTTTTAACAATCTTGGACAATTTTGGACAATTAAATAAAGTAAAATTACTTGAAATTTTATTAAGATAATCTATTTTATTTTAATTAAAATAAATTCAGCATCTAAAAAAATATATAGTTATATATTTTTTAAACAGATTTATTAATTATTAAAACCTAAACAAGCTTTGGACAATCTTGGACACTTGGACAATTTTGAACATGGACAAGTCTTTGGATAGCCAAAATGTACAACACTGGAGGACATCATTATTTTGAAAGCAACAGCTATAAATTAAGTATATTAAAAATAATAGATTATAATTATTTAAATCATTTTTTTAAAATTTTATAAAATTGTAAAATTTTTCTTAATTAAATTTTATAAAAAAAAAAAAAAACTCTATTTTTTAAAACATAATTATATGTAAAAATTTATGCTAAACAAGTTTGCTTACAAAATGAAAGTTTGTTACCTTAGTAAAAAAATAAGTTTGCTTTATACTAAAGTTAAAATTTTTAGTTTATCTATGTATAATATATTTTTTTTTTTTACTAAGGCAACCTATCTTTGTCTTTTAAGCAAACTTGTTTAAAACAAAATTTTATATATATATATTTATCAAAATGCGTTTTCTCAAACATTTTACTAAGTAAAAAATAGGGTTAAAGTTAGAAAAAAAGTTTTTTAAAAAATCCTTTTTTCTAATTTTAATCACATTTTCACTTAGTAAAATATTTGAAAAAGCACATTTTGATAAATATATACAGTATATGTAAAATTTTGTTTTGAACAAGTTTGCTTAGAAGACAAAGATAGGTTGCTTTAGTAAAAAAAAAATAGTGTACATAGATAAACTAAAAATTTAACTTTAGTACAAAGCAAACTTATTTTTTTACTAAAGTAACAAACTTTCATTTTGTAAGCAAACTTGTTTAACATAAAATTTTGTATATAATTATGTTTTAAAAAGTAGAAAATTTCTTCTTTTTATAAAATTTAATTAAAAAATGTTATAATTTTTTGGAATTTTAAAAAAGTGTTTCAAATAACCTATTTTCAATATGCTTAATCCTAAAATTTGAAATTTAGTTAATATGTAAGTTGAGGTGCTTAAATTTATAGTAGTTTTATACAGTATGTTTTTATATATTTATTGTAAAATATCACTCTATGTAACATATTCTCTGACTGTTATTAATATAATTAAAAATTATGAATTCTACGTATTCAAAATAAAATTAATTTTTTTTTGTCAATCTTAACGGTCTATCGAGATTTTGTTTTATAAAGTGCTTTAAAAAAACAAATATATATATACTAAATTTTTTGTATCAACGTAACAATAATTGACGATCTTTCTAAAATTTTAATTAATTCTGTAACGGTAACAGTAACGGTAATTGTGAACCATTCATTATATGATCATATGATCGTATTGTCCGGTGGCTTGGAAGAAATCTATATAAGACCCCTGGCTTTATAGATCTGCATATGTATTAACTCTCACGCCTGTTCGTCGCGTATCATTCTTTGCCTCGTCGCGTTATTGCCGGAATAATAAGCCTTGTGAGTAATGATAAAACTTTATTAAGAAAATTTTAATGTTCTATTATTTTTGAAAAAAAAAACCGTATTTGTTCACTTTTATTTTAAGAGGCATTTATTCCGATCGTAAATTGAAACTTTTTACAGAATTTTGCGAAACAGTATCTTATAATTATTACGAAACTTGAATATTGATTATTGGCCAACGAGCATTCATTTTTTTATTGTATATTGCTTATAAAATGAGCTATTACCCGTATGACCTTATTTATCCAGAATTGCGAGAGGAAAATTCACGGACGATAGGTATGTCGGAATTGTAACTGTAATTCACAAATATTTATGTTTAAGACAATATTTTGTAGCATACTAAATTTATCTAATGAATTTTAAGCAGATTCTAAAACACAAAAAAAACAAGAATTAGAATCGGATGAAGAGAGCTTTACGGATGAGACGTCTGTACCTAGTGATGAATTTGATTCGTCTTATAACAGTGGTGAAACTGAGGAAGAATTATTTGAACTTTGTTTCTACAATGAGAATAATGAGCTAGTATATGATGGCGTAAAAATGGCAGTTGAGGAAGCTGACATTGAGGACATTGATTCATCTAAAAAATTTCCGGAAGAGTCATTTATTGATTATTATGACAGTGACCATGAGATGAATTCATCACAAGGAAGTTTATATGAATCATTTCAGGATACAGCAGATGATATGAACTTGTCACAAGAAATTCGAGACGGTTCAATAATTGATTCTGTAGGTGATGTGAGCATTTTATCAGATAAAAAAACTGATATAATAAGGGGAATGCAGCGTTTAACTGGCCAATCTGTGGAAAATATTCTAGAAAATGAGGATTTACAGAATCAAGAAAATGCAAATAAGCTCTCTTTATTATACATACTTGGTGGCAATCAGCTTTCCAACACTTCTCAGAGTGACATATCACCACAAACTTCGCATACGTTCAAAGAAACTGGTATAAACCCAAACGAGCAATCAAATAATGAAGTGAATCCAACAGATATAATGCAGTCAATGGCCACATCCTCAAGAGAACCTCAATTTAATCCTGAAGCATTAGGAGTATCAACAAGTAAGATACCAGCACAACCTGTGTTGACTAATGGTGAGGAACCAGAAAAAGAACTACGCTCAGTTCCAAATTTGGCGCTATTTAACAGTAATACACCGCTTAAACTCGATTTGCCCTTGCCAACAAAGAATAAGACAAGCCGACCACCCATTGACAAACCATATTATGGACCAATTAACCAAAATAATTTTCACTCACCTATAATTCATAAAACAACCTTACCCATGTATGATCCACATGTGAATCCACCATTCAAGAATAATGAATGGCTATTTAATCAAAATACTTACCGACCATCAGTAATTCATGAAACACCTTCGTATTTTAACGAACAATCTGAGATGTTTGCAATTATTCCCCTTCTACTTGTTATTCTAATTAATTCTACTGTTACCATATATACCAATAG